CAGATATAGAAGGAATAGATACAACTAATGCGTGCTATGGAGGCACACCTGCTGTCTTCAATGCTGTTAACTGGATTGAGTCCAGCTCTTGGGAAGGAAATGCCAGACATACAGGTGGAGTTGGAGCTGTGGCTTTGCTGATTGGGCCAAATGCTCCTTTAATTTTTGACCGAGGGCTTCGTGGAACACATATGCAACATGCCTATGATTTTTACAAGCCCGATATGGTCTCCGAATATCCTATAGTCGATGGAAAACTCTCCATACAATGCTACCTCAGTGCATTAGACCGCTGTTATTCTGTCTACCACAAAAAGATCCATGCCCAGTGGCAGAAAGAGGGAAATGATAAAGATTTTACCTTAAATGATTTTGGCTTCATGATCTTTCACTCACCATATTGTAAACTGGTTCAGAAATCTCTAGCTCGGATGATGCTGAATGACTTCCTTAATGACCAGAACAGAGATAAAAATACTATCTAGAGTGTCCTGGAAGCTTTCGGGGATGTTAAATTAGAAGATACTTACTTTGACAGAGATGTGGAAAAGGCATTTATGAAGGCTAGTTCTGAACTCTTTAATCAGAAAACAAAGGCATCTTTGCTGGTATCAAATCAAAATGGAAATATATATACATCCTCAGTATATGGTTCCCTTGCTTCTGTTCTAACCCAGTACTCTCCTCAGCAATTGGCAGGGAAGAGGATAGGAGTGTTCTCTTATGGTTCTGGTTTGGCTGCCACCTTGTACTCTCTTAAAGTTACACAAGATGCCACACCAGGGTCTGTTCTTGATAAAATAACAGCAAGTTTATGTGATCTTAAATCAAGGCTTGACTCAAGAACTTGTGTAGCACCAGATGTCTTTGCTGAAAACATGAAGCTCAGAGAGGACACTCATCACTTGGCCAACTATATACCTCAGTGTTCAATAGATTCACTCTTTGAAGGAACATGGTACCTAGTTAGAGTGGATGAAAAGCATAGAAGAACGTACGCTCGTCGCCCCTCTCCAAATGATGACACTTTGGGTGAAGGAGTAGGACTTGTGCATTCAAATACAGCAACTGAGCATATTCCAAGCCCTGCTAAGAAAGTGCCAAGGCTCCCTGCATCAGCAGCAGAACCCGAAGTAGCTGTCATTAGTAATGGGGAACATTAAGATACTCCGTGAACTGCGAGACTTCACAGTGTGTTTGGGTTGGGGTGGGGATAGGGGAATGGTTGGAGGAAGGGAATGTCTGGGGACAATTTTAAAGAATTACACATTGCTTAAATTTTTATGTGACTGACACAGAGCCTAGCAAACTGTTGTGCTCTTGGACAAGTCTATCTGCCCAATTTGCTAACATGCTTCCTGTTGTGGTCTAGCCAATGCTAAATGTACTCGAATGATGTTAAGGGCTCTGTAAACTTTATACCTCTCTGGCCATTTATATGCATGAAATTTAGTTTTTAAATGTAGTATGAATCCTGTGCTTCTGTTAGAGGAAAGCAGAGGTACTAGTCTCCAATTTAATTTTTTTTTAATGTGTAAGAATTTTATACTTTGAACAACAAGATTATTGAAAGTACCTGTGGTTTTTGAAAATTTTTTCTAGCTTGGGGAATGTGGTCTTAAAATGTGATATGCACAAATACTCTTTGAAAATGGCAAGACAAACATTCTTTTTCTCAGATTTATAAATCCTAGAGAGGCAGAAAAGAGTTAGGACAGTAACACTGGTTCTGGAATATTATCCAGACCAACAGTGACATGTTGTCTGGAATATTATCCAGACCAACAGTGACATTATTGTGATGATCTCTGAACAGAGAGACACTAGCATTGAGCAGGCTTCTGGCATAAAAAGCATGGTCTGTTTGGGAGCTGTCACGATAGCTGCAGGAGCTGAGTGATCCTGATCAGTTCATGGTGGACTGTGCTCAGCAACATCGAGATGTTATTGGAGGTGTGTATGAGGAAGCTTTTTGTTGCAATCCTTCTTTGCACCTTATTTTAAAGGATACATAAAACATTTCTTTGATGCCTTTTTAAAATTTTAAACTGGAAAGGAAGGTTGGAGCAGGGCATTATTAGGCTACTTATGTTTCAGTGTCACAAATTCAATTTCTAGACTGACAGATTTGTGGTATGAGTTCTTTTTGTTTTGTGTGTGTGTTTGTGTGGGTCTTTGTTTTTGTATCTGTTCGATGAAAATAAGAAGGTACAACCTAAGTTTTTACATAGTCTGATTAGCCAAAAAGAGTATTCCACTTCAAGGTCTGGAAGTAAGGTTTATAAAGCTTTTTCTTGGACATTCACCTTTAAAAAACAAAAAACTATCACATGGAA